AAGTAACAGGTTTTGTAATGACATTATCTTCAAAATGAAACCAGACTTACTGTGGATGTTTCTGCCTCTGGTGCTCCCTCCTCCAACACTTCTGATGGGGGGTCCTGCTTTATTTCTTCAAGCACCTATTAGCAAGAATCACAGAATGAATATGCAAAGCACTTAGGGCAAAAGCCTCTTGGTTTTTCACACGTCTGTGCAGTGTAAAATCTAGTGGCATCAACTGTTGTCTGTATATGAACTTTTTAAGCGGTCCCAACCAAAAAAATTAGCAAATAAAATTCCCAAAGATTTATTTAGAAAGCAATTGGGACCTAAGCCCCCAGCTTTTTTTTCAAATACGTGTACAGTACGTCTAGATCTGTGCACAGAAGCATCAAGTGTTGTACTTATATGGAACTTTTCCCCCCCAAGAAATATGGTTGACTACACAAACGACTAAAATCAGAAGTGCAATGACACACCCGGACACCCCTCCCCTAGGTTTTATTTATTTATTTTTTGTTTCAGATTCTCCTAAAATGCTATCCCATCAGTCCATTTCCAGCTCCCCATAACTTATCCTATTCCCATTATTTTGGACTTAAGGCCCAAGTCACCTGAGATAATATACACAAACCGCGGAATGAGACTGGTCCCCCCCCAAAAAAAGAAATGTGTGGTATGTCGATCCCTAAATATTTTCCCTGCCAGACTGCTAAATTTGATTCACATGTACATATCTCGGCCTACAGTATGGTGGTTTTCCTAGTTCCGAATCACTAAAGAAATTCAGGCTGGTTGCAGTTCAAGTGCTCCACAAATTCTGGAGGAATGTGGTCAGTAGTTCACCTTGGATGTATGGGATACCGTGAAATTATCTCCACAAGTTGTGCTTTTTATTTGGACTTACAACTGTCCCCATACCTGGGTTTAGGCCCATAACAACAAAGGAAATACCTACCCGGGCCCTCTCTTGTTTCTGAAATGCTCTGCCCGACGTGGCATGTCACGATTATGACCATGCGTCGCCATGTTCGCAATAGTGACGGCTGCTCGTTGTAGCTGCAGCTGACAGTACCTTTCGTGTCGGAAGAGCACCTTCCACTAGGCCAAGTTGCTTTTTTAGCAGACATGAAGGATCAATGGAAGCTTCGTCAAAATGGTGAGAACATATTTTTGACCACTCCATCAATACAAAGTCTGATCATGTGTTTCCAACGAATCTCAACCATCTCCACCAAGTCGATTTCTTTTTCAGAAACGTGCCAGGATTTTTGGCCGTGCAGCGACCCACCACACAGGTCTGTGGTATTGTTAGCTAAATCTTTCTGTTGGAGAATACTTTTTCGCTATTATTTCAGGGAAACAACTAATTACAGATGGATGCAAGGCCAATGCAAAGTGTCCATGCCATTCACAAGATCGCATGTACATGTACATGTGCATTTAGCATAGCGATGCGTCGATCGCTACGGCCAATGCGACTCCCAAAGGTGATGTCACGAGGTCATTGCATATGATTATGACGTCATTACTCTTTTTAATTTTCTTCACTTGGCGCGGGGCGTTTGGGAGCCCTTTCAAATAATTTTTTTTTCCACTGCGATATTTGAGAAAAATTTAAGTGTTATTTTGAAAACATATAAATCAGGATACCGGTAGCAGGAAAAGTGCTTTACAGAGCCATTTTAAGTGCCCCACTTTAACGTTTAAGACTGCCAAACACATATTTACTCCCTTATTGGTATGACAAAGCATATCACACAAACCTAACTGGTTGTACAGTTTGAAGTCATCATATAGTGTTCCGGTAAAGCCTTAAGCATGTAGTGTGACTGGCTGCATAGTTTGAAGGATATGTTAAACAGCTGGTGCACGTGCAGTATATGTATTATATTGTTAGAGTGGATATGGAACTTCTGAGCAAATGGAATTAGTAACGTTGCTTCCCCAAGTGTTAAACAAAATAGGGACTGAATACCTAACCACATGTAAATTTCTTGAAGTTATGCCTTAATCACTAAGGACAAATTAATGAAATTACTTTTTAAAGGCAGAGTGGGCAATATGTACTGTGGCTCTTCAAACTCAACCCACTAAACTTTTGTAAGAAATCATACTTGGTTTCAAGATTGTAATGACATTCAACTCCCTGTAAAGTTATTTCTTCTGGCATGCAGTCATTTTGAAAAGGATTAACAAAAAATTCCAGAAAGTCATTCACCAATAAAATCCAGAATTTGAGCCATTTGAGTACTTGGATTGATGCTACAATTCTTTATTCAATTAATCACTTGCCGGACACATATGCTTTATATGCTTGGCCGAGGTCTCCAAAATCAGACAAAGGGAACTGGGCCTTGTAACAAAAGACCGTACTTGGAACAAAAGTCCAGGCTGCTGGGCATTACAGACTTTCTTCATTCTCAATAGTGGAAATAATCCAGCCTTGTTTTGAAACAGTATACCACAGTTTGGGGCATTTTGTGCAAGCAGATAACCACTGGGGACAAAAGCCCTCCACCACCGCAGCGATGCGCCACACAGCACTGCTGCACGCTAATCTGGCCCCTATTGAAAAGAGGGCAGTAGCGGACTGTGCCAGGTTTGTCAACAAAAGAAAGTTACATAACACCGCACTTTTTACAAGGCTGCAGGCCTGGCTGAAATACTCGGGCGTCAATAGATTTTGTCAGTTAGACTAGGGTAGCAACCAGACAGTCCTTCGTGTGGGTGTAAGTGTCCAGTTATTGAAGATAGGATTTTTTATGGAATTTTGAAAACAAAAAAAATTGATAATTATCCCGCCCCAGCACCATCAACATTGATACCTGCCACCAGCACGAAGTGCTACATTCTACATTCTACACTTGCTACATTCAAGTGTGGCATAATGGTAATTGCTTACTGTTTGCTGTGATGTGGATGGCCCTGCTGTATCACTCAATGGTTGTTCTTGGGAATGGCCAGCTTCACCTGATGATGCTGCAGCTGCACGTCTAGCGTGAGAGGACGTTGTGTCATCTAACCAACGAGTTAGCATCTCAGACATACGTTGGATGATAGTAAGACGGGGTTGAGACCCAGCTACAAGTTAAGAGAGAAATTATCCCACATTTATTGATCACGCAATGAACACACAGCCATGAACCGAGTTGACATAAGGGTTGAACAATAACATGTATAATAACCAAAGCCAAGAGTAAAAGTGAATTCAATTTACAATTTATTCTATTTATTCCAATCTATTCATTTTCTTCATACATGATTCCAACTTAATGTTGTCAGTTTTGTCTCAAAAGGAAAATGTTAAATCAACTTTGTGTTTTTTTCCGAACAGAAATAAGATACAGTGTTTTAATAATCCTTTTCTAATTTAAGAAACAGAAGAAACTGATTCACCCTGTTCAGCTCTTGGCCTTGCTTTGGGTCCAGTATCAGACCAGTCACCACGGAGACGTAGCCGCTTGATTGGATTGACCACAGGATTCTGTAAACAATCAAGTCCAACAATCACACATTAAGTACATGTGACAGAATTCAATGACATGAATCTTATCAGTAACATTTGTATGTTGGCTGCTGTACATGTTCCAACTCAAATGTCTTTCATTGGCTCTTTTAACCAGGTTACACAGCAACATGTGTTTGTTCTGTGCAGTCAAAAAAACACTTGAGCTGTTTGCCTAGTTCTTACCTCATCAACATCAGGTATGGCCGATCCTCCTGAGGCCCCCAGACTTATCTCAGACAACCCTTCTTGCTGTTCCCATACTGTCTCCTTCTTGGATTTATCCGCACCAAACAAATAGATGTAATCTGAAGAGTAACTAACTAGTATCTCATTACCAGCAGTGGAATACTGGAGGGATGTTGGCCGACTGTATTTATTTTGAAGATGTGACGGACAGAAACGGCAGAACATACCTTGTACACCTCGACCGCTGTAGTTACCTATTTGAAAAAAGAAACACACGTGCTCTTTGAGAAAGACGCTTTATGTTTTAACACAACTGTAGCAAAATTCAAATTTTCCCATTTTTGGGAGTCAATAAAACCTAATGAATTAAGCCATTTGGTATTCAACAAATTATAAAGAAAATACCATACTTCTAAAACACTGTAAGACTACCACTCATGTTTTTTAAAAAATAAAACACAATGATGACCAAAACTATCCTTCTTCATATTCCTTATGAAGGGCAAAGTATGACATCAGCTTTGTGATCTGTTAGCAATGTAATGTTAGTGCCCTTCACAAGGTAAATCACAAATATAAATCACTTCCCGAATTAGAAAAACTGTAACTATTCGTACAATGGCAGGTCCAACACTTCAATACGTGGGTGAGGGTGCTATGAAATTGTACAAATATTTCTGAACCATTATTAAAAAATTGGCAAATCACCTGTTGATCGAGTTCCAAGCATCCTACGATCAAACACACGTACTGAGCTGTCTGAGCAACCAACACCTAGATGATAAGGCATGATGGGATTGATTGCTAGTGATGTCACAGCACGACGGCAGTTGATAAGCACATCCTACCGAAAGTGAAGAAACATCTACAGTAATGTTTGAGTGTACAAGGTACAAAGTATAGTAGCAATATGTACTGTTGTTTGAAATACATGTAGTTTTGTCAACTTTTTCCTTATGAGGTCAGACAACTCAATGCTCATAGCGAGTACTTCACTTGAAAATACTCAAAGACATTTATTATGGTTCAAAATATTAATTCTGAAAAAAGTTTTGTGAAAATTTACATTTACCCCCTTTATATCGTTCAAAAACACTCCAGAAAGTGGTCCACTGCAACTATGAGATGTGACAAAAAATTACTGAAAGTGACACTACATGTATGTACATGTATGCACTGTGTAAATATTTGGGTTGGAGTAAGTACAATTTTGATTTTTTTGTAAATATAAATAAGAATCATACATATGTCTTTGGGTGTTTTTATTTGATGCATACATCGTCTGTCCTGATGAAAAGAGAAATTGTTGAGTGAAATTGTTAAATTTGAAGAAAACTGTTTTGTTTGACCAGATGTAGGTAAACTTTTTGCCCTAATGTACATGTGCCTGGGGTACATGTGAAGACCATACATTCTAAAAATATACTGATCTAGTAAGCTCTGCTCACTGTGCACGTGGGCACTTAACAAATTCTCTTTGCCAATGCAACACTACATATTCCAGCTGTGCTTATTATACGCACGTACACCCATGTCAAACTTTTGTGCACATACAGTAAATGTGCAATGTATGTTGACATGAATCACAGCAGTGATTGGTCAGAACACGATGGCCCATTAGTCTATTTGGTCCCACATGCTCATGCATCCAATGGCAAATGTGCATGAATCTGTACGAGTACAAAGAGAGTAAAAAGAAAGGCTCATATTTTCAAGTGAGCAACAGTGCTCATAAATTCAGATGGTCAAACATTTGGACATAGTCCATGTATGAAACTAAAATCAAATTAAAGACAGCTTGAAGCTACAAGAAAGTGTCAATCGCCACTCACAGAGTAAACAATGAGGCGATATTTAGAATGTTTACAATTTTCGTGTAAATCAACAATTATGACTATGGGATCCACGATGTGTATGAGCTTGATCATTCAGTTATTTCATCCTAAGTTCCTACCAGTCTTAAAACATGGCACAAATATATAAATAAGTGGAAGTACCAGTATTCATGACCTATTCATTTACATGAACACAGATGCTTCTTGCTGGTAAGTCCATTGTAAAAAGGTGTCCTTAAATAATAATAATGATAATTTATAACGCGCCAAATCCGTCATCAAGTGACGCTCGAGGCCAGGAACCAAAATATACAATGTTTACCACCACTTTTGCATCAAGTAGAGGCTGTGCAGATCAAATATGCATACTATTATCAAATTGCTCACAGACTAGTTGAATTACAAAATTAATCCTTCATAAATTTATGATTTACAAAGTTGAACTAGAAGCACAAGACGGCATACATGCATGTAACTGGCCGATCAAGTTTGTAATAATACCGGTATTTCACTGTTACAAAAATGATTACAAGAATATTAAGAACATTCTAAATACCACCATACATGTATTGTATTTTACTAACACTAAAACAGTGAACAATTATCCAAAATTCACGTTTTGGAATATAGTCCTGTCTGTGTCTGTGTGTACTAAGGCTTCTAACATCACTTTTGTCTTATATGGCATTCTGATTATGCTCTGACTCTGAAAAAAATCAGACATAATCAAGTGTACTTTACCGGTACATGAAGAAGCACCGAGAAATGATACGTATTTGAAATTTGGACTTGCCTCTCGACATTCTTCCTTCGTGCATTTATTCTTGATGCGAAGATCAAACCATCGGACAGTGCCATCTTCACCACAAGACAGGAAAGTGTATGGGTCATTTGGCACAGTTACCACCTGCATTTAAAAAGCAAATTGTACATCAGTGATGGGGGAACAAAACAGTTAACATGAACTACATTGTAGAGAAGGATTGAAAAGCAGGAAAGTGACATATTTCTGTATTATTTGAAATAGAAACTTTAAAATAGAAACTAAAGTTAGATGAACTACATCCACATTGAAGCTATAATAAAAGTCTGAAGTATATATACGTGTACAGTACCTCATAAGCAGTCCCATAGTGGCAGTTGAACATATGTTCACCATGGTGTGCAGAATTCTCCACATCATTGAATGCTATTTGACCATCCCCAGAGCATGAAACAATCTGTGCGAAAGCAAAATAAAGTGTTTAATGAGGTGGCCACTCTTTCTTAACCTCTTCGCGCCAGGAAGCCGTAAGAGACGCCGTAAAAATTATTCTCGTCTCACGCTCGAACGAACACGGTGAAAGAAAGCACACCCTGGCTATTGTATATATGGTGATTGGCCTTTGTGTGTTGCCAAGAAATGAAAAGGCCGTATTTGCATCGTTATCACAATAGTCCCCACTTTCAAAAGAGGCAACGGGAGTGTGGAAGCGTGAATAGAACCGTATGCCACCGAACAATGAGCCTTTTCACTGTGTAAATCAAAGCGTGCAGAGCACGCAGGGTCACAAACTGAGAATTTGCGGTTTGGCAGGTGGCCTTTGTGGCCGAGCGAAGCTGGAATTCTCGGAGTCGGCTTTAAGAAAGAAGTCCTGGCGTCAAGGGGTTAAAAAGGGAACTTGTTTACATGTAAATGTATGTAAATATTCTGATACACTAAGACTTACATGTGTAGGTGTGTTTAGTTACAACTACATGTGTGTAAACCAAAAGGATCCAATTACCATGTAAGTCACTTTGTTGTCATTGATTTTACTCAGACACTTACATGTACATGTGTAACGTAACTATGGGTAATGAAAGCTTTAAGACAAGTGATAATGCAAGCACTTTAACAAAACTCTCAAAGTTACTAGTATGTCTCTTTGTGATCTTTGAGAAATTATTTTAACAATGATTTTTAGAAAATAATTTTAATAATGTATATTTTACCTGACTATCATTGCACATTGGCATAAATTTAGCACTGAAGATATTAGCTCGATGTCCAGATGCTATGTTGGTAAGTTTCTTGCGTGTGTATGGATCAGAAATACAAAGTTGTTTGTCATCAGAACCGGACAGGATTCTGTAACCACTATCATTCCAGCTGATAGTATTCACCTACAGGTAGAAAACAGAGTTTACGTACGTGTACATGTAGAATTTTACACAACGCTGTTATTTTGTTGTAATGTACATATATTTCATTCAAGAGTGTAAGATTTTCAAAACAATGATAAACAAAAAAGTTTGTAACAAATACCAGAGCAGAAAAAGTGCCATCCTTTATAAAACAGAAGAATGCCACTATGATGAACATTGCTACATTGAATAATCCAGTATGCTGAACAAATCTGTGTAAATATTTCGCTAGTGTTGAACAACGTTTGCCATCTTACCGTTGCCAACTTTGGTAAAGTACATGTACATGTACAAGCACCATTATGGCTCCAGCACTACAGAATGGTTCTTGGCCCACATACAAGTATTACAATTCTGATTCAGCGAAGGAAAACAGTGTACATGTAAATGCAGCGGATGTTGCAGATGATTTTTTAAGCAATGGCTCAAGGACAAGTCACAGGATACTTTGATTTTATTTGTGATTCAACTTTCATTGAGAACTCTCCGAAACTAGTGCACAAGGCTGATGGGGCCTTTTCAGTGCTTGTGAACTGGTTCAATACATGTACTTACACATCCTCTGTGAATATCCAGCTTGGCTTCCAGTTTCAATCTCTGCATAAAATCTGTGCTTCCTGTAACAAATGCACATGTAAAGGTACGGTGTATATCTTAATATTTACCGATGTAAAAATGTTCTTTGTGTGTTTCTACCTAATTAGAGGTACAGTGTACAAGTACTTCTCTTTCAGTTTTTTCAGATACATCTATCTGGTCATGAAAGTGGTGATACAGTATGTACATGTAACAATTGACTTTAACATTTGCAAGAACCCATGCCTGGCATTTCACCTCTGTTGAACGTTAAACTCATATTCCAAAGGGCCCTGGGTTGGAGCTCTACCATGGATTACAGTGTACATGTACATTTACATGTGTACCTTCTTAACTTTCTTTGAGGAATACTGTATATTGTTTGAGGAATGCTGTGTTTACGGAGTTCTTTTACTGAATGGGTAGGATAAAAAAGTGGATTTGGTCAAACTTGGTTTCTAGCTTTTTTTTTGGAGCCATGATAGACACTGTACTGCTACATATAGTTACATGTAGCTCTGCACTGCTATGTTATAGAGTTATTTTCGACCCAGTCTATGCAGCGCTATCTACATGTACATGTGTACATACACATTTCAGGTGCACAAATCCAAATCCAATGTTCACCATACTGTGCATGACACTACACAAAGACCTACAGCCAGTTATGCACATACAAACACACATGTACTGACATGTACGTACATTTACATGGCAGTGTACATGTCCATGTGGTTCACACGTACCCGATAGTACCGGTACATACAGTACATGGAACGCCAGGGCTATATACATGTACATGTATGGTACACATGTATTCGATTCGATTCTGTCATTAGTGTAAAAAAAATTGACTGCAAAAAAGCGAGTAAATCCATATATCGATGTACATTGTACATTGTACAACACAAGCTTTAAAAAAGAGTGCAAAAAAGCACCGCCAAACCATCATCCTTTTACGACAGGACCAATCACATTTTCTTCAAGTATGTTCCCAAAACGCAGTCCAAAATACCGATCGTGGCAATTTTGAGGCTTCCATCAATCTCTTGAGGTGACATTAGAGAAACATTTTGCTGCATCGTGGCCTTTTTGACCTTTGACATCAACCCAGATAGTGCGCCCTCTTTTTTATTCGATATTCATGAACCCCTCCACGGAATGGAGACACTCCACGATTTTTCTCTTCGGAACAATTTTTCTCAAAAGAAAATCCATCATTCTGAATAACGTTCGCAAAAAAAAAACGTTCAAGACATAAAGTACGGTTCAGGATGAAAATCTAATGCTCAGGGATGTTAATTTTAATTTTATTTTCAGCGGGGTTATCTCCAAAAAAATTGGCAAAATGAAAATCGCGCATGGAATTTTCGAGCACTACATGTACATGTGACAGCCTTTTCGGCATTCTCGAACATTATGCAGTTTCTGTCAAAATTATCGAACGTGATCAAAATTCTGTCAAATATAACGTTCACAGCGAACATATTGTACTCATTACAAATTTTTGATGCAGCCAAACTTAAGGATAATTTTTGGCAGTCAAAATATACAAGACCTGCCAAATATGTTGGTAAAGTGAGAGTGATTATCAACAGTAAGAGAATGAAGAGAGCCAAACTTTTCTCATCATTTTCCATCAATTTTGTGCTCTTTTTTGTGGCTTATATTTTTTTAAAGTTATTTCTTACGTGCTTTAAAATACATCCGCCAAAAAATATACCAAATTCTCCTTCTTGTTGAGAGAAGTTTTGAAATCAAGTCCTCTGGTGTAAACACTTTGACGTAAAACTTTAAATGAATTCAACTTGATTTGATTTGCACTGGTTGCCAACCAAATGTCCACCATACATGTAAGTACATATTATGCCTACATGTAAGTATCCCCATATAATCATTTTAAAAAATCTGAAGGTGGTAATTTGTATTTTACATGATCAAAGTCACTCTTTTAGAAGTTTTGAAAAATGACAGCCGAGGTTGCATTTTGGTCCATTTTATGAAGAACATGCCATATAGTAAGGAGGTCAAAATGGTAGCTCTTGACATTGAGCTTTGTTTCCAGTTTTATACCCCTTTTGTTCCACATTTTCTGTCGAAGGCCACCAAATTCACTTCAGCATCGATATTTGCTGAAGTGAACTGTTCTACTGCATTGAGCTTTGTGCTGCTAAGGGTGATGGATGGTGGGATATACATGTAGTTAATGGCCAGGAGGTGGTTGAAACATCACCTCGGTCTTTTTAAGGCTGATGGTAAGCCCATTACCTGAAGGTCCTCTTCAGTATGGGCTACAAGGGCACAGTCATCTGCATACAGCAACTCACGGACCAGTACATTGAACAGTTTAGTTTGGGCTTTGAATCTTCTGAGATTAAATAACTTCCCATCTGTCCGCGAAATTGTAAATGGACACATGTATTCAGACAAGTTGAAGCCTCGTACAACACTGCAGTGAACAGGATACTAAACAGGATTGGTACAAGTTTCCAACCTGCTTGACACCATTAAAGACAGGAAAAGGGTCCAACATCGAGTCGTTGTAAGCTACCCTGGCCATCATACCAGAGTGGAACTGTTGGAGCATCTCCAGGAACTTTGTGGGCAGCCTAGTCTAGATACATGATGTAGAATTATCCGTATATATTGGGTGATATGAGATATATGATTGAGGACTCCGTCAGTGTTCAACCCATCGCTTCAGTATTTGATCTGTGTCAGTTAGGAGTGTCCCTCCATCAGCACTCAACATTGGGGTGGGCCCATTGGAGACAGGGCCATACACTGACCTCAGAGAGGCATAAATGTTCTTCATGTTATGTGAGTCAGAGTAACCTTGTACATCTTTGGCCTTGTCTTTCCACCATGTATCTTGCATGTTCCTCAGTTCTGACAGCACAGACCTCTGCAGCTTCTTACAGGTATCACGCTTAGATACAGAGGTTGGGTCATTAAGACAGTTCTGATGAGCTGCATGTTTTTCAGCAAGGAGCCTTTCTATCGCAGTATCATTTTGGCCAAACCAATCTTGGTGCTGACGTTGCTGCTTGCCAAGAACTTCAACAGATGTCTCATACACACAGTCTCTGAAGTCAGACCAGGTTCTTTCTATATCGACTGGAACGGTGTGTTTGAGGCAGCCAAGCTTATCCGCAAGTGAAGCAGTCAACCGACTCTTTATGGCTGTGTCATTTAGCTTCACAGTGTTTAGCTTCCTAGGAAGCTTGGCTAACTGTGACCGGCACTTGTTGGCAATCACAAGCTATAGCTTTGCTCGCACTAGACTATCATCAGTTTATCATTCTACACCTCTCAATACTCTAGTGATTTTTACATCTTTCAGATCTTTCTGGCAAACAATTACACAGTCGATCAAGTGCCAATGTTTGGATCGAGGATGCATCTATGTTGTTTTTAACTTATCTGGCCACCTGAACATGGTGTTGCTAATGACGAGGCTGTTGGCTGCACATACATGTACATGTAGGTTCAGGAGTAAGGTTCCATTGCTGTTAAACTTGCCTATGCCTTGTCTACCAAGCACTCCTTTCCAAGCATGGTGCCCAACAGATGCATTGAAGTCACCAAGTAATATAAGTTTGTCACCCTTTGGCACTGCACTGATGGTCTCTGACGGATCCTCATAGAACTTTTGTTTTGCTTCATCTAAATTTCTCATTGTAGGTGTGTACGCACTAATGAGGGTAGCATGACATAGCAAAACCAGAGGAATCCTCAGGGTCATAAGGTGGTCACTGATGCCCTTTAGCAGGTTAACCAGTTTGTCAGTGATATCTCGTTTGATGGCCAAGCCAACTCCAGCTTCGTGGCATTCCTCATTATCAGCTCTCCCAATCCAGAAAAAGCTGTAGCCTGCGCCGATCTCAGTAAGCTGACCCTCACTAGCAAAGCGTGTCTCACTTAGGGCAGTTATGTCTATGTTGTGCTTAGTTCCCGACCAAGCAAGGCTGTCCTACACTCTGGTACTCAGTTCCTGAAGCAGACAATGTTTAGTGCACCTTTTCTGTGTCCTGGGCCACCTGTGTGTAGGTCCGTGACTAACAGCTGCCAGCGTATTCCTCACCTGCTGCCTTCATCACTCGCCCATCACCGCAGGACTTATGTACTGATGTCAGCATGTGAGTGTAAAAGACACCAGGGCATTTTGGAGATTATAGTGAAGATGGTTTGCGCAGAGCCATCATCACTCTCTCTGCCTCGGTCATCTACATTCAGTGGCAAGACGCAGTCTAGACGGCTGAAGGTGAAGTTGGCTGCAGTGGATGATCTGAGGTATCTGCATACATGTGTACCTACGGTTTGAGTGCTCCACAACACCTGCTACAATGCCTTCCTTGCAGGTTATTTGGAGAATAGTTAACAGCTCTGCCCGCCAATTCCACCAGAGCAGCCTTGGAGCACATTTATTAAAGGGAATGTTATTTCTGCCCGATACACACAAAACATGCTGATGTACAATGTAATTATGATAGTATGGCTCAGAATTATCTTACATAATGCAGATTTCCCGTCAAGAAAATCTAGACAAAAATGCAGTTAATAGTCCTGCATTTTCCCATGTACATGTACATGTACATACTATAGCTACACGTAGCCTACATACCTGTAGTACATACATTGTGCACCACACATCGGCAGCCACACTGCACACCGTACATGTACATCAACACCATGCTGAACGTTCCTCGTGGTCGGTGTCGCATGAAATCTGAACTTCCGTCATGGGCGTCGTACATGCACCCACGTGCATGTGTGTTTCTTTGTGCTGTGTGGTCAATATGCTAGTGGGGCTGCATTTACGAAGGTTAAAATTTTATACCACACCATTTGCAGAACTTACAACATCGACCCAACACATTTTTTTTTCACGGCGGCAGCCATAGCCCTGTGTAACAGTACAGTATAAACCCTAATCC